ATATAGTCACAAACCACTCATACTTCAATACAGAAAAGAAATCAGCTCTATCCATATGTTTACATCCCCATTTCATCCCCAGGCGTGCACAACCTCTTCGTAGACTCCAACTCGTAAGGGTATCAGTTCAAATCTCAAACATTGAGCTCATCACCCTCAAACCTCAGTGATAGCAATGAGTGTCATGCTGGGCGCGGAGTCCTCCTCAACGACCTCGCTCCTTCGTACGCGTCTCGCCTTCTTCTCGCCGCCCTCAGTTACGCCATTGGCGGCAGAGTTGACGGGGACTTTGAGACCAGCATTGATGATCATACCAACACCAGCCTTCTCGGTGCCCATTTCCACCTTAGGCTGGTTCTGCATAGCCTCACGGGCATAACCAAGTGCCTCGCGGAAACCGGGGAGATCACGCTTGATCCAGGCCATGGCCTCCTGAACCGCTTCGAGGCCCTCTTCTGGGGCAGGGGCACGCTTGCCGAGGTGATCAATTGTTCGGACAACGGGGGCCGGGGCGGCGCGGGCAGCTATAGACGCCTCAGTTGATCGTCCTTCTACAGGTTGTTCACCCTCTTGCGGCTGTTGCTCCTGTGGTTGGGGCTGCGCCTGTTCGGTGTTCTGTTGAGGCTGACCTGGTTGACCCTGTGCTTGCTCTCCTCCATTTCCATTCGCGGCTCCAGATGCGAGCGTAGCCATCAATGTTGAAGCTGATTCTGAAGACCCCAAAGAGATCTCACCGTCACCGACTACCAGGGCCGGAGAATAGGCACCCAAGTTGATGTTGAGGGGAACAGCGGAGACAGAGACGACGAGGGCAATGAGGACGTGTTGAGGAAGCATCTCGTCGGTTGTTGGGTAGTAGTATAAATTATAAACTTATGACTTCAAAATGGAGGGTTATGCTGAAGAGCAAGAATGACTGATGAAGCAAATATATAATCTTGGTCTGGAGGGTGAAGTTAGAAACAAAGGTCGCCCGGCGACAGAAGACTGATTAGAAGTTGATGTTGAAAACTTAAAGTGAGTAGCCGGACTGGAGAGCCAAAGGAAAGTGGATTTGTCCCACTTCTTATACCAAGTCGAAGCTCTTCAGTTCTCCATTGAGCATCATGGAAGAACAGGCCCAGTCATGTCAGTGCCGCCAAGTGAGTCCCACTGTTTTGCAATGAGCTTGAAACTTCTGTGAAGCCGGCCAAGAGACTGCATCTCGAGCATGGCGAACATATAACTGCATGTCACTGTCTACTTTGCCAAGGCATTCCCGCCATTTCGAGCCTGCTCGAAACTAGTTTGAGGTCTGCCAAGAACCAACGAGCTAGGTAGTCGTGGATGGGTATGCAGTGCATGTGAGCGGAGGGAGGTCGTGCACAGGGTCCCGAGCATCACGGGAGTGGACTCTCATGTTGCAGCCAAGACGCCATACTGGTCAGAGACGTCACACTTGCATTGTGAGGTCGAGCACTCGTGGGGAACATATGGCGGTAGGAATGTTTGTTTCTGACCGCAATTGCTACGGGCTATGATAGAAAATCATTCTAGGGCCATGAAGTGGGATCCTGGTGCTGTTTATGTTTGCAAGTGGAACTCCTGGGGGTTCTTGTGAAGCTGACGGTGGTACAGAGACCTCAAGAATTGCTACCAAAGGCCAGCAAACTCAAGATCCGATGGTGCTTGCTGCATACTGCATGACAGCCGACCAGCCCACATTGGCAGTGCTTAAACTGCAAGGCCAATACGTCAAAATGGTTAAGCTGCCAAGGTGTGAAAAGAAAGAATTCCAAGAAGAAGGCCAGCACAGGACTCGGTTCTACTCGTCTCACGGCCGGATAAATCCCTGCTATCGGCTCCTCATGCGTGAACAGATTCCTTGGCCGTCTTTCCCACGGGGTTTCTCTTGGCTAGATCGGGCAAGACTTTGCCAGGAGATGCGGCTGGGCACTCTGAGCTTCGCGCGCAGAAGCCTTTCCGAAACCGTCAATGTGTAGGCCATGTGGAGTCTCAAAATGCTTGGGTTTGCACAATCGTCTGGGTGGGCCAGGGTTTGAGGAGCAAATGGGGGGTTCGAGTTTGAGACTAGGCCCAAAACGGGGTGGCTTTCACGAGAGATTGTCACAAATCCAAGAGGTGCGACCAGGGGGTTTCTTGGCCCGCGATAGCAGGAACAATGGCTTTTGTATCGACTTCGCGCTCCGTCTTCCAGCCTTGTCTTGGATGAGAACTGTGTAGCTTACGCGGACGTGATGGGCGCGCTTTAGCCTGTCTCAGCATGACGATGTTGAAGATCTGAGCCTGTTGAGGCAATTCCAAGGTTGCCAACAAGTCACATCGCGTATGCAGACGCGGAGGACCGAACAATGAAGGAGCTGATATGATGGAAGAGACCATAACGGGCGGCAGGTTGAGGAGGAAGTTGATGAGAAGAGCTTGGCTAAAGTGGGCGGTTTCTCCGCACTGAACCCCTTTCTGCTTGACAACGTGCTCAAGACGGGTCCACAGCCTTCGAGGTTGTCTGTCGAAATCTGAGGGAGAGTACGACGCTCCAATATCCACTCTTCCCTGTATTGCGTCTCCGTCCCCATTTAACATCCAGGTGCTCCCATTCAGTATTGCAATGCACAATCCAGACGTGTCCCAGTGACACCCAGAAAGTCCAGCGAATTGTCAAGTTCGAGTCCCACTGTCCAAGGCTTGGGAGAGGTGGAGAGGCCCACACAACCATCTCCACAGTTCAACGCTTCTTGGTGGTGGTAGTGAGTTGCTTGGAGAAAAGACAAGAGTTTAAGTGCGACTTTGATTTTTCTGGGCGAATATATAAGACGCAGCCATGCCACCCCATACGTCTCACTCCCAAAATGGCCTACTCACACTTTTCGTAGTTGAAGGTCAACACCTGCTGGATGCGATTGAAGATGTCATAATCATATGCTCCCCAAATCCCGCTCTGTCCAGAACTCGGCCCAACCAGCGATACTTCGGTCCGGATCTTGATGGTGTGGTCTTTCTCGGTACAACCAGTCGTCAACGAATGCGCAGCAGATTTTGCGTCGGCTCTCACAACCTTTTCGAAACTCCCCAAGGGGCCATTGACTTCGACAGTATCCACAGACTGATGCCATCATCAGTTGTGAGTTGTGCAGATGTGAAGAACTTCCAAACATACCTGAGTGCCATCGGGCAAAGTATAGGTCACATTCCATACGGCAGAAAAGCCCGGAGCCAACTGATAACGAGCGTATATCGCAGTCCCGTTCTTCGACACGTTCACCCGGTATCCCGTCGTGTTACGAAACTTCCACTCGTGCTCGCACCAAGTGGATCGGAACGTTCCCTTTTCGTTCGAATAGGTATTTGCTCCCATCGTCGAAGGCAGATTCAGTCCTCGGGAAAACAACGAGTCCGTCTCCTCTGGGTTACGCCAAAGCGACCCCCATCCCGCATTGGTTATGGAGCAGCGCAAGTTCTCGTCGGGCGCGCAGGGACAACCTGGCCCATGGGCGTTGATGAGTACGATATCGGCATCGTCACCGGGCCAAATAATGGGGTCTGCAACCACAGCGAGGTTGACGCTGAGAATAGAGAGAAACGTGGAAACTCTCATACTGCTAGCAAAGGGGTTTTATGGCGAGTATGTGTTTCAATAGAATTGGCTGCTGATCGGAAGGTAGAAGTTCGCCAACCCCTCACCGCGAGCCTATACCTTTTATACTCCGGATAATGGCATACTTTGCTTCGAATCTCTAGAGATGCGGGGGAGTCGAAGACGTCTTTGTCCATCGAAATGAAGATGGTTGCACAGCGTCCTGGAAAGGGTAAATGCAGGAGAGGCGGTCATGCGGCGTGGAAGTGGTCTTCTGAATAGACTTTGCAGCACCAACTCATCGATCTACTATCAGGAATCCATTTACATATCGACCATTCTGCGAGGCATTCAGAGACTGGTAAGGATACATGGTTTCTCCGGCCCATTTTAAGCTTTCAATATGTCAGCAAGTAGCGAAACTACACCCGCTGTAATCTTGGCTTCCATCTAATATCGCCCGATCATATAACGGAGCACACTGTTCTCTGAAACATGCGCACCTCGAGGAACCGGGCGAAACTTTAAGGCTCCAGTACGGTGGTCGAAAATCCGGGGTAATTGGTCTTGTGCTACCTGAGATCGTCGGCTCTTCATCCGGTCTTACCCAGGATATTGGGTAACACGATCATATGGCGTGCAGAGAAGGCAGTCCTTTAATGAGGGGTATGATGGGTGAATGGATGAAGTGTAATTGTGAGTGAGACCTGCTAGGAACCGACTTGGCTTACCGGAAGAAGTTGCACGCTCATTGAGCGGACGAGTTCTCACGTTTACCGTACGAATCCCACATTCATCTCCATGAGTATGACTTGCATCTATCGTACGAGACTCCATCTATCCAAGTTCGCATGACCTATTTGAATATGAATTTTCATGTTCTTGGAATCTATCCAGCAGCCTGCAGGCGAATAGTGTCATCTTGATATTACTGTGCAGAGGGTTACCATTGTTTTAGGCATTATAGTATCAAATTTGGCGCGCGCTAGAATTAGACGCAATCTAGCGGGAAGAAAGTGTAAAGATTTATTTCTTGATGTCCACGTGTAGGGGACTGCTGTAATTTTGCACCGCCCGTATCACTGTATCTCATTATATTCTCGTAATTTGATAGGAGCCGTAATACAAATCCAACACATATATATCAATCTTTATCTGTAGTCACAACAGTTACATCATTGCAGTCCTGGCCGAACTGAATCGACGCTGATGCCGCATCTTCTTATGTGTCAAGTCTTTGATGGTTGAACCCTCCCAATTCCCACTGAGGTTAGCCCCCTTGCCCCGCTACACTCATGGTTTCTACCCCGCCTTCTCCACTTCTCTTCCATACTTTGAAAAGTCGGTCTTCGTCAGTACTAGTCAGTGTTCTACACAACATGGATATGTTGTGACTAAGAGTGAATATTCTTCATTGCTTCCCAATGGCTTGGTGGTGTAGTTGGTTATCACGTCAGTCTAACAATCACTGTTGGAGTTCACTGAAGGTCCCGAGATCGAGCCTCGGCCGAGTCAATTCTTTTTGCCTTTTAACACTCCTTTTGCCCTCTTCTTGAGTCTGAACATGGCTTTTGCTGTCTTTAAGCTGCAATAACTAATCAATTCTCTTAAGAGACATATATTCTAACCTCTTCATACTGCTAGATATGTCTTCTCAGACCTCTCAAGGATAGGCATATGGTTGGTTCATGGAGGAAGAATTACATTTACTTTTGAAAGTGCAAGCGAGAAAGAGAAGTCAAGAGGTTTGACCTCACTCTCTACAAATCAAGGTTTCTGATAAGTAATCCACAACGGTCATGACTTGAGATGTTTATGCGGTTGATTGCAAATAATGTTATTCAATATACAAGAAGCAAGCATATCTTGCTTGGAATAATCACTCCCTATCCTACAGCTCTTCTCAGTAGTTCTTAATTCCGGGTGCAATCGTAACAACTCAGTCTATCGGAACATCGCCCGAATGGATCCTCAGTTGTTCATCCTGGTTTTGTTTCCGTGCTTCATCACCTTCTTCATCTTCTTCACTTTCTTCACTTTCTTCATCTTCTTAGGCTTTGCCACCGCCGCCGCGGTCGGGCACTCGATGGGCACAGCAACAGTCGCAGTCGCTGCAGGAGCAGCTACATCCACGACGGCACTTGTGGCGGCCGCAGGAGTGGTGGCAGCGCCAGTGGCAGCAGGTGCAGCGCTGCACTCAGCTACGGGTTGTTAACTTCTCATTTCTCTATTCACAGAGGATATGACATACTCTGCTGCACAGCACACGCCGAGACACTCAAGTCCGGGTTCCCTCCATTCGCAGAATTGGCACAAGCGTTGAACTGTTGGTCACAGCTCCTTTGAAGCGCCGCTCCGATGTTGACAAAGGTGTCGGCCTTGACCTGGAATGGGCGATCAGGATTGCCAGAGTCAACAATGGGGGTGGCCGCGATGCCGCCGAGGGCGCCGGTGAAGGATTGGAAGTTGGCTGCGCGTTCGGTGAGGGGAGCCGCGAGGGCGATGGAAGCGAATGATAGAATGGCGAAGGACTTCATCTTTTCGGTTGGGCTTGAAGTTGCTGGTAAACAGGTTTAAATTGTCGAGTACGCGAAATGGGTAATAGGTATATCGAACAGAAATGAGTGACCAGACTCGAAAGAACGTAAAGTGCCGAAGCGAATTGCAAAAGAGAGACTAAAGGAGAGTTGATCGAAGAATATGCTTGAAGGATGGAGACTAACATCGAGGCACGAACTCCCTCCATCTTTATACCAGTCTTGGGAGGGGCTGACGGCCGTTGGCAGCGCCTTCACGAAGCCCCTTCGTGGTGCTTTCCGAGCATTAGCTTCCACATGAGACCTTTGAAAGGAGCCACAAGTGCGCGGGGGTAGAGTCCTGAGCTCCTGGTAATATCGCCTTCAACCCATGCACCTGGGTCAGAACGGGTGGTTTGGTATGGTCAAGCTTTCTGGAAAGCAAAGCTTGGGTCAACAGAGCCAATGAGAAACGAAAACAAAGTCTTGTTTAGGGAAAGAGAAATTGCGCATTTGTATGAGAATCGGTTTGGGAAGTGCATGATGAACAGATCTGAGAATGCATTGACGTTTCGTGTCGAGTCGTTGAACTTTGGAGATGAGCGCTTGTTGGTCGCAAAGGCTCTCATCCGCAGTCCCATCTTGAATTTATCACCAATGCAGACAACGCATACGTGGAAGAGAGTGTAAATCTGAAAGATAGCCATACCGGAACCTCTTCAATTAACTGATGAGGACAACAGATGGGATGCGAACGCGATAGCTGTTAGGAACGTCCTTGCGCTCTTGGCGATGTTCGCTTCTACCCCTGTGCTGATCACGCAAATCCTGAGGCAACTCATGAAGCAAAGAGAACGCCATTCCAAGCGAACAAAAGTCCACCAATCTTGAACATGGAGCTACCGCTGTAGAATTGTTGTCAAAGAAGCTTGGTATTATTGAGTTTCTTCGATCGCATAAGGAAACGCCCCGATGTGCCTGAAAAATATTCCCAACCTCCTTCCCTTGGACCTTCATATTGCAAAACTATTCATGGACCGTATCCAATCTCATGGCTCGACTATGCTCCGCATCCATTACAAAATCCAAGAGGATCCATCAACCCTAAAACATCGGAGACGTCTTCGTTCTCTGCTTGCGACACAAGTTCTTTGTCATTTGCGATCGCTTCTTCCATCAGCGAATCTGCCCGCTCTTTCATGTTAAGCTTAGCACACAACTTTGCTGCTTGAGTGTAAAGGACCGCTTTCCACCTTTTAATCTGCAGTAAGATCCTTTCAGCATCCTCCATAACCGAGACATTCGCATCTATGGCCCTATCGTCTCTTCCCAAGTATTGCATACCTTCAGTAGCAACCATAAGGGCTTGAACATATTGTAAATCGTCATAATATGAACAAATAATCATGCAGTATGCTCGCGAGGCCCATTTGAATAGAACCGCCGCATCGGTGCTAAAGTCTTCTCTAAATCGAGTTTGCTAGAAGATGCGGTAAGCCCAGCATGTGTCCAGGATTCGAATGAACATCTAGAGAAACTTGTCCTGATAAGGCTCAGCAACTCTAGCATACTTTATGCCATGAGCTATTTTCACTCTTTCCAGGCTCTTTCTTTCGTGTACGACTCTATGTAGTTGACGTCCTATCGTTTAAGCATCTAAACTTTCAAGAGAAGGCCCGCCGGAAGTGCAGCTGCGAACAAGTCATTCTCGATTCATCTCCGACACCGGCCCATCAATATGCAGTACCACAAGTCTGAGATCACCTCCACTGAAAGATGGCTTGAACAGTAGCTCTGTGAGTCGAGGTAAAGTGTAGCGATATCTGTTGTGTATCTTTGTGCATACCACATCCTAGCCGTCCGGTATTCTTTTCGTCAAATATGGCAGATATCGGGCGGATATGATAAAAGTCCTCGAATATCCGCTATCCCTCATTGAAGTCCCAGTTGACATGATCTCCAGCGTCATAGCGAAGTGTGGACATTGCTTTACATCTTCTGCTTTGAAATTTATCAACCCCCTTTCATTTTTGTGAAGAAACGGGATACGCTGTCCAGGCCGTCGCAGGGGGTTTGCACGAAGATTGTAACAATTGGAGTTTACCACAACGAATAGATTTTTGGCATATATGATGTAGCGACTCTCGACGTAGAATTGCCCATTGACGAATAAGATTGCGTTGGGTGGAATCTTTTGGTATCGCATGAGCTTCCCCTCAATTAAATGAGTAACAAGAAGCTCCGTGTATATCTGATCGCGGATCGAGACTGGAAAATCGAGGAATCGGAAAGCGGACAATTGAACCGAGGTATTCACTTCAATTTTGAAGTCAATGAGAAAGATGTTTGTTGGAAGCTCGCGTTCTGTGAACCAGAGCTGAACATATAGCTGCGCCACACAAGGCAGCAGATGGGGTGGTGTGATGTCTGCAGCCCCAATCACAGGCCAGCCCATTCTGGAGCATACTTCGAATTTCTCCACCGTTTCGTAGAGTCACTGATACAACAAATTGCATTTTTTCCAAAGGGGAGCGTAGAAATTTAAACACCACTGACAGCTTCCATCCTACCACAAACGTATACATTTAGGAGAAAGTTCCCTTTGTGGCTCATAACAGGCAGGAGATGTCATTGTGAATGCCCCCTTTGCAAATCTTCCATGTTTCTAACCCCACAAGGCAATTCTCATTCCTTTTTCTCGTCCCCAAGCCCGCTCTTGTCCTTGTCATTTGCTGCATGTTCATGGTTTTCGGTTCTCTCCCGCTCTTCTCTTGCAGCTTGCATTCTCCTCAAATGAGCGTCTTTAGAGAGCAGCTTTGTGGATGCAGACTCCAAAGAAGAGTCTTGTGCTCGAATTAGTCAGTTCCGACAAATCACGTTCGGTGGAAATCAGGGATAGAGGGTACCGGATTGGTGCAAGGCAGTATTGGCAGTAGAGTCTGGCATAATGACAGTATGGGATGCGAGAGTCGGGAGGGTCGCAGTTGAAATTGTATTGAGATGAGTTATTAAGGAGGTATACCAGTAGGCGGCATGAAGTTGAGACTATGGCGGTGATGATGAGCAGAATTATGTATGAACATGCAGGACAGATGAGAGCACCACGTCATCCCTACAAATTCGGTTAGAGACGGCGTAAGCTTCCAGCTACCCCGAGGACAATAGGAGCAGAACAGTCTCTATGAACATGGTGAAGTTCTTTTTTGGTTTCAGAACAGCATAAAAAGGTGTCATTATAGTGTTAGGTCACGATGCTGAGAGATGATGAGTAAAGAAAGGAGACATTGACGAGATCACTGGATCTTAAATACCACAAAATAGCGAACTACCTCAGCAAGAGTCAGGAGATGACAGCGTCCACCATCACTATCTCCCGGCCTGCTCGAAGAACATGAAAGCTGGTTCAGCATGCTCTAAACCATTTTCTGCCACATAGAATCCGTCGCACAGGCCTTGAATCGCCGGCTTTGGGCTATGCTCTACATTCCATTCTTTTCCAACACAAAAATTCCCAGACATGGGCTGATCGACGCGCGATTTTTAGACAGCGAACATACCATAGATATGTATGGAGTTTTTTACCTTTCTAACGCTTTTATATATCGTTGATATCTTCTTGACGTCCACAAACTGCAAAGGCAGCAAAGCTCTTCCCAGCATGTGGCAGAGCCGGTGAAACTTTGAGAAAACATGACAAGACAAGGAGAAAGCCATTTCTAGCTCATCAAGTGAGGTTGCGAGAATTTTTAGAAAAGCGACATCGAGCATGACTGTCGAAACTTGAAATCCGGGACATGGAACGATAATGTAGGACATTTTGTTGCATATGCAACAGCAGAAGAAGGTAGGGAAAGAAGGACATTGTACTCCTGGGATTGGGGTTTATATACCTTTCTATGTAAGCCTAATAATGTAACAATAGATGAAGAGTCTCGATTATCCCGTACATCGGCCAATGGCAACATTTCTAAGAGATAAGTCAGCGGCGATTATGTGCGA